TAATTACACTCTTCTCGGGAGACCTTGTGCACATGGGTTGAAGGATAAGATACAGCCGAATGGGTTTCGATTTCCTTGTGTTTGTCCAAGTCCTTGGCCTGGGGAAGTAAGGTAACCTATGAAAAAGGGACATTTTTGGAATAGTTGTTTTTGAATTATGCTTATGAAATACACCCTGTGCAATGGAGGGCATGTGGGAAAGCTATACTCTGCCAGCATGACTAATTTTTAAAGCCTTACTCAGAGAGAATTCCCCCCCACACACACACTCCAAGAACACAGCTGGGCTACTCCTCTGTGGACTCAATGTGTCAATTCTGAATTGAACTAACATGAAATTTTACCCCATTATGGCACAGCAAACCAAGGACCTTGCAGCTGCATTTGATGTATAGGAGTTCATACACCAAGTACTATTATTTTATTAACTTTAAGAACATGTTTTACATAAAAACAGGCAACATCAAAAAAGCTCAGTTGATAAATGAACATGATATATCACAGATGATTTCATTCCACATTAACCTACATTTATTCACTTAAACCAAAGGATTAAGGGAAAAATTGGATCTCATTCCACCTTTATCATGGATACAAATCATTTGAAAGTTACTTCATTAGGATTCTGAAAATCAAAGATGAACTTATACCATCTGATCCATGCAGCAAGTGATAAATTCAGTATTTTCAAAGGAAACATTGAATTTTTTCACACACCAAATCAAAACCTTTCAGAAACTTGTTTAAATGCATCAAGTTCCCAGCCCACCTTTTCAGTATGCATGAGCAAAATACTCTAATTTCACACTCAACTAATCCTTTAATAATTTTCTTTCAGCCAGAATGAAAGAAGCTATTATTAATTTCCTAATAAATTTTTTTAAAGAATTTATTGAGGCTATGACTCTGACCTTTAGAACAGTTTCAATTCTTTTTTATTTTCTTCTGAGAATACACCAAAGATTAATGTCAATGGTGAGAAATTATCCCTAGAGACCTGGTCGGGGCTTTTTTTTTTTTCTTACCTATTTTTTTTTCATTCAATTGCACTGGAATGAATTGACATTGTAGCGTCTTTATCATCACTGTAAAAATTCTACTTTGTTTTAGAACCAACAGTGAAGGCCTTAGAGCTATTACTTACTTTAATTTCATAAAGTATATCACAGACAAAAATATACAATTTTACATTAAAGCAACATTAAGGGTCTCAGGTAAGTTGACCAAGAAGAATGCTGAAGGAATGTACAAGTAGTTTAATTTTAGAAATCACACTACTTTTCGGGCAAAAGAATGAAACTATTTTATTTGTCTTCATGGGAAAGATTTTGCAAACCTCCTGGTCAAAACACCTGTCAGGCAGAAGCTTGTTCACTGAAAATGGCCACGCCAACACCCTGTGTGTCGAAGCCCAACAACAGATTAGAGCCAAATAAACTGGAAAAATTCTACTTCTCCAGGGCCTCAGAAGTCTTCATATGGAATTGCCTATTTCCCACCAGCTTCTGACCCTTACTGTTACTGAACGGATGGTTGCATATTTGAGATGATTAAAAAATTAAAGACTGACTTAAAAGCACCTCCTCTCAAGTAACTACATACAAACCAAAGATTCTGTCAGTCCTAGGGACCCATTTGTCACTATTTTATATGAAAGCACCACTGAGCCAATTTTTATAGCACAGTTGCAGTTATTAAATGTTAGTGATTCTTCAATTTTGTTGATTGATTTGCCTTAACCAAAAAAGTGTCACGTGTGTCACTTTATGCTCTTCTTATGGTGTGTGAATTTGATAAAAATGTTAGTTCTGGAAGTGCTTTTAATCACTATCTTTCGCAACAGACTAGATTTTGATGATTAAATAAGAAATCCATATCGTCAAGAAAGCACATATCTGACCCTCTACACTTCATGCAAAATAAGGGTCTATTTGAGAGTATTTTCCCCAAACTCTTAATGGAAATGGCAGACAATATGTGAGAAAGGCTGACCTTTAAACTGACCAACTTCAAGTTTAAAAAAAAAAAACATTTGGACAAAAAACATTGCATTGTGCTTTAAAAATTAAGAACTTATAAATTATTGAAAGGATATGTTATCTATAATACAGGTTCAGTGACCCACTAACTAAAAAAAAAAATGCTACATCCAAATGAATAATTAGAGTACAGCTACCCTGATGGGTCTTGGTGTTGTCCAAAATTTAAAAATCACAATTATGGAAAGAATGTCCAGGATATTTTAAAATTTTTGTCTTTTCTCAGGAGAGTTAGAAAAAGTTGGGAGCAGGGAGAAGTGAACTCTCACCTCTTGATTCAGCAGGCCCTATAAAGCAAACTGCAGCCCGGGGCACATTTTTTATGGTCAAATGAAAAACCTTGGAGAATAAGTTTATCATGAAAATGTTGATGGAGCTCTACCCAGAGAAGGACTAGGGGCAAAACAGCCATATTAAGAAAGCTCTCCCTGCGCACAAGCAAACGTGGGCTCCTGGGACAGAGTTGTCAAATAGAAGTCGTTGGCCAGCAAACAACCATGATTTAATGTGCCTTGGTCATACAGTAGCTCCATGACCCTCTAAGCCAATTTTTCTTTTCTTTTTTTCTTTTAACTGATATATGCCTCAAAGGGCGAAGGATTGCAATTTTAGCTTTCATTCATGGATGTATTGCTTTCTTTCAACAATATCTGATGGGCCTGTTAGCCACCGCCCATGGGGCTACTGAGCAGGTTGTGGGGAGGTCTCACGCAATACAAAACACCACGTGTTTTCAGTAGTTTATTCACATCATTCCTTACCTATTTTAATATGCACCACGTGTAAATTAGATGAGGGTTTACAGGAAAAACATGTTCAATGATGGAAATCTTACTTTTCCTTCTAATGATCTGAGGAAAATCACATATTCGTTGATCATGACAAGTAAAATAATTTCTGCTACAATATTGAGAAAAAACATGTTCATTAATATGAGCAGTTCTCCTCTACAGAGATGATTTACACAATGCAATTACTGACAGAGTTCTTCTTTAACTAGTCTATTATCAAACTGAAAAGCTGAATATTAAAATCCCCTTGAAAATACCATATGATTGGTCATGTGTCAGTAAAGGAAAGACAGTCCCCACCACCAAGCCACCACCATAAGAGCTCTATTAAATACTTGGAAAGCAAAATATGGAAACACTCGTGGCGATGACTAAATTGATAATTACAGAGATACACTGTCATAATGGTACATAGCTGTTCTAGGGTAAGTGAAATCAAAAAATAAGATCAATTTGGTTATAGAAATTCCTTAAAGAACATCACCACTTAATTATTTCAAACTTGAGCTATCCCAAGAATGTCAAAGAAAAAAAAATGTAGAAAGCACTGGCTAAAAGCAAAGCAAGCTGCAGACAGCAACGTCATCGGCATGCCTTGTGCTTGTCTGTTAACCCTCTGAGCACATCTCTGCCATTCAGGATCATGGTAGCTTCTCACTGCAAAGACTGCATTCCACCTGATTGCTCAATATTTCTACTTGACAGGTCACATTCCACCATTTATTCAGCATGGATCACTCTGATTCCGTAGCTGCTGTGCTGGCCTCCCCAGACAGAAGGAGCCCTACATTGTTCTGAGCTGCCTGCCTCTCTGTGGTGTGCTGAGAAACACCCATGGCTCACACTGTCCAGAGCCCCTACAGGAGTTGATGGCAAATAGCCCCTGCTATGCACGGAGGGTTCTGTACACCGGATGCCAATGCAACACCCTGAATGTACCCCGAGAAAGCCGTAATCCGGAGACATAAAGGAAATGACTACATGTAGACCTCTGACCAAAAGATCCTTCACACTCACCCATTTAGAATTCAGGCCAAGCTCTATATTTGCCCCTTAGCCTTAGAACAGCACTCTAGAAAAAGCAGGTATTCCTGACTAGTTCAATGTCCTTCACTCACACAGACTCCACCCACACACCAGCAACCTGCCTGGTGTTCTGTGCTTGCCCTCTCCCTCCCCCAAAACAACTCAGAGGATTTCATGGTTTATGCTACTTTGTGGTTTTGTATTTCCAGACAACACAGTCCATGGAGATGAATGTACAGGTGGAGGAGTATCACGTGTTGGAGGCTGCATTGTAAAGATAATGAGATACAGTGAATAAAGACCTGTATGAATGTGTATATACTGCTTGGCCACCCAGATGCCATGTTTGTGAGGCACCATTCACAGGTTGTTTCCAGATGGCAGGATTGAGCAGTCCTTAGGAGTACGTTTCAGTTGGGTCCCTTTCTCCTGAGAGCTTAATTTTCCCTCCTCTGAGCCCTGTGTGATGCACAGGAAGTGGAAGACCATCAATCATGCTGAAGTACAATACTTGTATATTCCAGAGGAATACAGGCCTGGAAGTACAAGGCTAGGGAGATAGTTTTGGTAAATATACACAGTAAATATACAGGTCTCAGACAGAACTTGGCCCCAAAGACATAAAACCTCTTCATCCCCTGGACAGCTGAAAACAGTGGAATAGGGCAACTGTCTTCAGGAATGGAAGATGTGTCCTCAGGGGTTTCTTCTGGGTCTCTCACCCTGTTCTTTCCAGGAGGACTGAACAGGTAACCTCAATTGTATATAATTGTATATGGGATCATCTTATCAGTAAGTCACTTCTTTACAACCTATTTTTAGAACAGTCTGGATTGGGTTCAAATTGTGCTTTTTCCTTGGCCATCTTGCAAAGCATTTGCTCTGGCTTCTTGTACCCCAGCTCCCCCATGTATGGATTCCATACTCTGGAGTGGAGTTCCCACTGACACAGGGCCTGAAAACCCAGGTGAGTAAAAACCTAGGATTTCCCATTTCCTCTTTCTGCCACAAATTCCAGCCTCTTGGAGCACCTAGCAATTTATTGCTCATTTCCACCAGGTGTTTTCTTTCAAGTAAATGTCTGATACCAAGCAGACAGACCCCCACTCACCCAGCACGGGTCAAACTGTGCTTGCTGGAGGGTCTGTGCCGGCACTAGCAGCAGCTGATGCAGAAGCAGCATGGCTAGATCATCAGTACCTCTTCACAGGGAGACGGTTTTGTACAGGGGGCACCATCTCTCTCTCTGTTGACCACAAACTCAATTTCCTCCACTCAATGTGCAGGACTCACTGCAGGTGACAAGTCATGCCATCTAACAACCATTAAAACATCCCTTCCTCAACAGGCTTGTGAAAGAAGACAGCAGTGTTATCCCAAAGCCTGCCATGCTCTAAATCCATGAGGACAAGCTAGATCATCAATGCAGATGGCTTTCTTGTTTGGACATTCCAGCATCTAAAAACACCCCATGATCTGCAGCAAAATCCAGAAATATGCGTGTATACATCCAAAGACCTGAAAAAAGTCCTGAATATAGGTTCTCAGTAAATCTATGCACTCAGAGGGTTAACATGGACTTTACTATATACTGCAGATCCTAGCTTGAAGGATGAAAACATTCATTGCTTCTATATTTAGAAAAAAAAAATCTGCAAATTAACCTTAACCCTTTGAGGACCTCATAGCAGCAAATTACCATCTTCACACCCGCCCCCCCCCCCCACCCCCCAGGCCATTCAGTAAAGGAAAATTGCAAGGAAGATACCTGAAAACACACTGCTCTGCCTTTCAAGCACTGAGTGCTAGATAGATCAGATGAAACTGTTTCACATAAATCGGGGGAAAAAAAACTTCAGAGTCTCAAAGGGTTAAGCTAGGACTTTGAGTAAAAGGGTCTTATTAAAAGGGTGAGTTGGGGGAGCGAACAGTCTCGGAGGAGCTTGGGGAGTAGTCTTCCGATTCCGAGTTGACTTCCGGCGGAGTTGGCTGTGCCTTGTACCGGCTCCTCACATCCTGGTTGCGTCTTCGTCGGAAAACCTGCCTCTCCTTATCAAGAGCGGTGGTCTAGCAGGGGCATAAAATGAGAAAGAGGACAATCAGGGCCGTGGGGAATGGCAAAAATAAACACTTTCTACAGAATTTTCTGCGACTACAAAAACGATGCCGGCTAAGTGCACATGTCCATTACGGCTCAGTTGTGTTGACATTGATAGCCAACTCTTGGGGGAGTCTCTGCTCCCCTACCCATACAGCTCTTCAGGAGGCCTGGTCATCACTTCAGCTAGCACAAGCAGGATGGATGCTGTCAGAGGTGTGACCTTTGCCAAGTTCCAACCAGACTTCTACTAGCTCCACATTTATTTACCCTTGGGTGGGTCCCTGGTTAGTCAGAGCTTTCCCTCTCATCGGTGGAAACCTCACGTGTGTGTGTGTGTGTGTGTGTGTGTGTGTGTGTGTGTGTGTGTGTGACCATGCAGTGCAGGACAGGCATTCAATAAAGAAGAGACATGATCAAGCTGTCGCACCCAGAATCAAAGTCACCCAGTCCATTCTGTTCTTTTCCCTTGTTCTCTATGTGCCTCTCCTACTATCTGTTGATGAGAAAGAATGGCTGAGTCTCTGGAAGGATTAGATTAATTTTAAGGAAACCAACACCTGAAATTCAATATGGCTCTGAATGCCATTAACACAAATGGAAACTTTCCATGGATTTCCCTTCACAAAGTTCATTTTCATCGTCGTATGTGGCAACTCACAAAACCAGGGTTCAGTTTCACAGGTATTCTATCTCCCTGCCTGTGTGTCTCATTTTCCTGAGGAATTCTCAGATGATCCCAGGATGTGCTATCTGACCGTAGCTCTAGAAGTTATGATACCCGAGTAGAAACCAGCATGCCTGCCCCATGGGTTTAATGGGTGTGGGGAGGAGGAACAGGTCATTACAGGGAAACCTTACACAGAGCACAGAAGAGCAGATACAAAGCCTGAAGAAAAATCTAGAACACATATAAAAGTTGAAGACATCCCTGTTTGAAAGTCCTCTTTAAAAGGATGTCGCCTGGAGGTGATTCTGCTTTTAAGAGATTACTTTTCTTTTGCAGGAATATATGCCACCATTTTTCCTCTTGAAAATTTACTGTTTAGCTCCTTTAAAGAACTGAGATAAATTTATAGCCAGCCTGCTTCTGAGAACAAAGTGAAAACTAAGCCTCTCAAACAATCGTGGTATAGCATTACAGCAATCTTAGCTCTAAAATAGAACAATGAAAGTTCCCAAACGAAGTAATAAAAAGAGAAAGAGAGGCAATACGTAGCATCAGTGTAGTAAATGGCTTCTTTAGGCTGAACTGCCCTGCTTTAAAACTATGCACATTTGAAATTACAGTGTTACAAACCAATGATGAAAATAAACCTTAATAATCCACTTCTTGTTCCACTAGATTGCTACTAACAATGACTCAATAACTGGTTGAAATGTCACCTTTGATTCTTCTACTTGTTGAATTTTTGGGTTTTTATGATATTCTCAGCATCATAAATCCAAATTCCTAACCTTATTTAAAACATTGTAAAGTTACAACACATGGTATTTTGCTTTCAAAGCACTCTGAAAATGTTCTGTTTCTGTGGAGTTGAACGTTTGTAAAAAACAGATGTCTATTTAGTCTGACTGACATCAAAAAGTATTCTGTAGTTAATCCAAGACTAATATAAACTTTTCTCTTGGTCATAAAAATAATTTCTATTTCTACCTTCTTGAAAGTGGAAAAAAAAGTCACCGGCATGGAGATGAATTCTAACAAGTGAACAGGGGCGATCAGATGTGAAAAAGAGAAACACATGGGGCTGTGGCCAGGAATTTTGTGTCCTGTTCTGTCCATCTGTTAATTGAGGGACAAGAATAATTCCTCCTTTCTCTTATACAGTTGCTGAAGATGGACATCCAAATGCTTCCTAAACAGTCAAGAGTCGCAGAAATGGAAAGTGATCTTTTAATTTCCTTTTTACAATTTCGTGTAAAAATAGCATTTTAAATTAAGCAAATGCAAGTCAAATTAAAAAAGGAACCACATTAGAACTTGACATCAAAGAACTTTCTCTTCTTGGCACGGGCACTTTCTCAATATCTTACTCATTTCTCCTTACAATGATTAAATGATTGGTTTGTAGATATTAAAATCTTTCATTCTTCTATTTAAAACATTTTAAAAGCCCTCATATATTTAAATCATTTTGTGGCGTGTCCCCATCAATTTTGATGCCATTTATAGCTGTTTAATCAGTGAACACAATTTGCACTTCTGCTTGCAGACCCTGAAATAGAGATCATTTCTCCATGAATCTCAGGAGCCAGCTCAGCTACAGGTTGGCAGCACTCATTGCTGAGCCCCTGTTGGTTGGTCCCTTTGCCCTCATTTTCACCCTCAACTGTACAAATGCTCATGAACACAATCAGATCCTCCCCCTTCCTTGTCTCCGCCTAACTCCCTTTCTCTGTTTCTGTGCTCAGTTATTTCTATTCCTGATCATCTCTTTGACCAGAATGTGCTAAAAGTTCCTCTTTGCAGATGAATACTCCTGTTCAAATGCTCTTGAGATTTCAGTTGCATGGTCCACGAGCATCATCATGGCACCTGTTCTTGAAAGCCTATCATGGTCATGATCACATTTCATGAGATGGAGTTGTGGTGGTTGTTCCTATTGGATTTAGAGAATTCCTAAAGTTGAAAATGGATTTACAAGGCATCTCTGCCTATGGCTGTCTGTCTTTACATTCACAGAAACTGAATGGGGAGAGATTTGCTCACACTTGCATTGCTAACCAGGAATAGAACTCAGTTCTTGTGCACATGGCCCAGATATTTTTTTTCCCATTTACTCTGATGCTTACTGGAATAGAATAAAATGGATCCCCTGCATTTTGGAGCTCATTCCTTCTCTCTTCCTGCCAAAAGTGAGCTGACTAGCAGACACTGATCACACAGGCTGCCTCAAAGGCCAAGGCCAGGACTCTCCCATGCTGATGGTTAAAGAGATCTGGTTCAGGAACAGTAAGTAGGGTTTCATTGTGTGCCCGGTTTCCTTCTAAACTGAAAGGCCTGTAAACTCCTAGGGAAATCTGGGTATCATGGCAGAGATTCCGTTTCCAGCCCATTTAGGTCCTTGAATTAGTCCCAAAGGCTGCACCTAACACTGAGGTCTCCCAATGATTTTCCAGAAAGCATCATTGTCCATAGACATCACACCTGCACCCACAGCTCTGACTCAGTCTGTTTTTAGCACCATGGGCCACAGTTTATTTTAGGAGCTTCTTTCTCTGTTTCCATAAGAGTTTAGTATGTGTTTCCATCACTGTGTCTTGCCTATCCCATCACTGGCTCTAATTAACTGCAGATTCTTTGGAGGGCCAAGAGTCAATCTCCTTTCTCTGAGCATAAGAATCTATCTGTACTCCAAGACTCAATTAAATGACACACATTTTCTTTCCAATTTTCTCAGGTAAGAGTTGGCTGAATCTGGAGCAAATTTTGGCAAATGATTATACATTGCGCTATTACGTCTTTACTTGGCATATTTTCCAAATACCATGTAAACGCCCCTATGGTAGAATTTGTAACCTTGAATTTTCCATAAAGTTTAGCAGGCTGTGGCACAAATACTAGGCCCATATTCAATACTTGCTACTGCAGAATTACTTTAGGTGAAAATAAACTTTCCGAATAACAACAACAGAAAATAGAAAATAGAGAAAATTGACTCCAACACAAAATAATAAGAGCTGGAAAAAGCAGAGAGTCAATACGTAAAAATTTACACTTCCAATATGACCAAATTCCTAGCTCAGATAAAGCCAATACTCTGTTATACTCATGTAGTACCCATTAAACAAATGTGTGGCCCAATTTCTTATCATGGTAAACTCTGTCACATATTATATATTTAGGATTCCAATTATGGCTATAAAAATAACATGCCTCTAAAATATGAGCAGCTCATCCTTCAAAATTAAACACTGTGGCTCCCAAATGCAGTCCAGGACAAGTGAATTCTGCAAAGAAATAGAACTATATGCTATTACGCAATTTTTAATGACATCAAAAATATGGAGCAACTAGTAATACCCTCTACCTTTCTTCCCAGAAAGCATGTGAAACATACTTTGTCTTCTAAAGAGCTATAGCAAAGATTTAAATTCTGGATCCTTTCATTTCTAAAAGGCAACTTTTTAAATCACAAACTCTTCTCAAGAAATCAAGTAAATTGAGTCCCTCAGTGTCCTCCCCAGGATACAGACTCGACGGTCCCCTACCAAGGCTTCCTGCCAGTTAGATCATCTTACTCGTCGTTTTGCTCAGGGATGTAGCTTTGTTGGTGCCTTCATGAATGAACTTGAAGTGAGCTCCTCACTGTCTTTTAGGAAAGTCCCTACTTCCTTGCAGTACCACATTCTGGTACTAATTCCACAAGTTAGAGGTGAGCAGGAATGCTCTGGAGATTATACAGTTGACTGGTGGTACCCAAGGTGAAACTGTCACCTCGTTTCATCAAACATGCATACAGCAGAGGCTGCTGTATTGTGCCCTGCGCCAGGACACAAGCTACAGTCTCCTGGAGGCAAGGTACAGAGAACAAATAATTGAAAAAATAAAATAATGTGTAGAAACAGAACACTGTAAACCTGTCCTGCACAGGAGAAACACTATCTAAACCTTCCTCCAATTGCCACCAAGCCCCAGTTCAACTGCTAGTTCAAGTGTGAAAACGGAGAGAGGGCAAAACCATGCCAGTCACCTAAGTGGTGCAGGTGTAACTGGAAAACTTCAAGATACGAACAGCGATTGTGTTTTGATGCCTGCCATAATACCATAATATATAAATAGATAAATAAAGCAATGCCTATCCACCGGATTTATTCTCACAGTAGTCACACTTAATGAATTTGTTCAGTGGCAAACATGCCACTGTCATTCACATAGCACTCAGTTATTTTAAATTCTTATTTCTGACACTGAATTTGGACATCAGCATAAACACATATAAAGTATCCTACTGGTGTCTTTCTA